TTGGGCTTAGGGTTTAGGGCTTTGGGCTTTTAGGGCTTTAGGGTTTAGGGTTTAGGGTTTAGGGTTTAGGGTTTAGGGCTCTTAGGGCTTTTAGGGCTCTTAGGTTTCTTAGGGTTCTTAGGGTTCTTAGGGTTTTGGGGTTTGTCCCGGCTCCGAGCGTCCAGCTCCCCGATCTTCCCCGCAGCCAGGCTCGCGAGCTCCCGGAGCCGTTGGAGGTGCGTCCAGCCTTTGGGGTTTAGGGGGTTCATTAGGGGTTTAGGGGTTTAGGGGTTTGGGGGGTTTAGGGGGTTTAGAGAGGGTTTAGGGGGTTTAGAGGGTTTAGGGTTTTTGGGGGTTTAGGGTTTAGGGTTTTGGGTGTTGGTTTCATGAGGGGTCTGGTAGGTTTTTGATAGGCTTTAAAGAGGGCTTCCAGGTTTTGATACAGTTGTACACGGCTTGGAAGAATTCTGTTAAACGTCTAAACGGGATCCCATATGTAGCCGTAATTCATAAACAAAGGGTCTCATTGGGTTGTTGGATAATCATTGGCTCGGGTGGTTTGAAATAGGGCCTGTATATAGCCAATGCTCCAACCTTGTAGTGTAACACGTCTTCTCAGCATGACGGTAGTTCATGACGATATCGATTCGCCGCCATATGCTTGCCCTTCTGCCCATCATCACCAGTGCTATCGTATCACCAGTGCTATGGTGATTCAGTGGTTCCCACGACGTAGTGCCGAAACAGTCTGGCAAGCATTAAGACGACGAGTCTACCGGTCTGACGTTGAACCTTCCGGGGTACCCAGAGACTCCAATATCCCTTAATTAAGGAATATACCTTAAAACCATATTAGGGTTCCTATTATAATTTACGGTATATTCCTTAATTAAGGGATATTGAGTCTCTGGGTAGCACGGAGTAAGGTCGCAAGTTCACCTCTTAGGATCGCAGTCTGACGGCGAAGATCGGGATCAGGACGGGCGAACTACCAGGTTCGGGCTTCAGTGCTCCGAGAGCTTTTCTACATGTAGGAAAAGCTATAACAATAGCAATGCCAGTTAGTAACTTTTGCCCTTTGTAGCTTGATCCTTAAATCCTTGCTACATAGGATTTCGTTGTTGGGCCCTTCCCCAGAAAATGCGGAATCTTTCCCTGACTACTCTTAACGTGCCCGTGGTCCAGAGTTATCCGCATTCCTTGCTGTCAGCTCACCTTCTCTGTCTTGCTGTTGATTGCCACACCGGGATTCGAAGAAGACTGAGCACTGGGGTTTTGGATTATGTTATGCTTGCATGGCTACGGCTCTGGGTTTACTGTGGAAGCGGGGGCCTAAACCCCTCAACCCTAAACCCTAAAGCCCTAAACCCTAAAACCCTAAACCCCAAAGCCCTAAAGCCCTAAACCCTTAACCCTAAACCCAGCCTTGAGCACATTTTCAGGAGGGAACAAGGGCCCGGCTGAGCGAATGTCGCCCCAAATGTCGAAGATCCTCGTGGAGCCTTGCGGTTCGTCAGCGTCTGTAATGTTTCGGGTTTAGGGTTTAGGGTTTGATGTGGGGCCCTAAACTCAAATTTTACGGCTTTTGGGCCCAAAGACCATGCTACATAGGGCTTTGAATAGAGGGGCTTCTGGCGTGCTCAACTGAAACAGTGCTTGTAGAGGGATAGCACAAACTAGAGATATCCCTGTAAGGTACCCCAGCATTGCTGGTCGGAAATGACTCTCCCTCAACCCTTGCCCTGAAATCTCTTTAATCTTGCATTCGTTGAAGATTCCGTCTCTGCTGATGCCGACGGCGGTACTCGGCTGTGACGATTGAGATGACTAGTCGTGCTATGCTGCCTATTTCAGCAGTGTTCAGGGCTTGGGGTTTAGAGTTCAAGGTTTAGTATGTACTGACACCACTGTCTGTGCCAAACGCACCAGGGCGGTAGTGCAACCACTATCGGATGGAATCTAAGTCATTTACATGCTGCACCAAGCATTCAATCACATCCCAGACCCCGGATCCCCTCAGGCCATAAAGCTCCAAACCAGGACGCCCAGACCACACGGAGAATCGGTAGCGGGACCTTCCCAAGCTCGGAGGCACCTCCAACAGGACCTGTGCACAAGCGGGGTGTAGTTTAGGGTGAACTACGGGGCTCCGACTTGGGGTTTCTCCTTGAAGGTGCTTCCCTCAACGTTTAATGGCAGAAATTTCGCTGTTCAGGATCAGGACGCCTATTTAAGAAAAAAACGCCCACATGTAGAGTACCGAAGGGGCCTGCAAGAGAGGCACCGGCTTAACGCAACGGAGACCCGGAAAGAGGTTCTACTATGGAGCGGCCCCGCTATCAACTTCAAAACCCTAGCCTAGCAAAAAAAACAATACTATTTTATCATTAACATTACTATTAATATTATTATTGTTGTTATTATTATACTATTACTATTGAAACAAAGAACCAAACATACAACCCTAGACTTTAACAATCCCCCCCTCCGAAGCTAATAAGCCCTGGACACGCCCAAACTACAAAAATACCATTCAGGTCGGCTTCATGAACTCTTCTGGTGACCAAAGCCTGTCTAAGCGCGAAAATCCCGCACTGAAAGCACAAGGATGAACTCACGGTGCCGAGGTTGGTTCGCGAATCATTAGAGGTGTAGGAAGCGTGGGGGCGGCAACCTTGCTTTGGGGTTGGGGTTGCGTGATGTAGGGGTTTATCGCGAAACCCTAAACCCTAAACTCGGGGAGAACTGGCATCTGTGGCTTCAAGGTTTCCCTGACAACACCCAAGGCCCCGGCACCACGGCCTTCCTGCAGGTGCAGCCTCCCGACACGGGCGCATAGCCCCAGAAGCGTCGGTATGGAAATCAACAGGGTCTATCCATCTATCTATCTATCTATATATATCTATATCTATATCTATATCTATATCTATATCTGTATCTATATCTATATCTATATCTATATCTATATATATATATATAGAGGTCTGAGAGATGTTCATCAAGGATTGTCGAACAGGCTGGTGAGCACGCATGAGCCAAAGCTAGGCTCCGGACTGTGCGAACAAAGAAGGCGGTGCTTGACCAAGCTCGCGCGCCATCTGCTGGACGTGAGGATCCTGGTGCGTCGTCAGAGTTGGGGTGGTATATTATACTGTTGTAGGAGCTAAAGGAGTACCAAGGTTACGAGGTGATTCTATACCCCCTTGAGATCCCCGTCCCTTAAAGGCCCCAGAAGAGTTTAAGGGGTTTAGGGTTTAGGGGTTTAGGGGCTATATCAGCCTATCAGCGGATGCAAACTATTTCTAATTTGTCCGACCTCGACCCCTATGTCATGTGCAATTTCTTGGCTGTGAACAACTTCCCTGTCAGTGCACCACCCTAGCGAAGCCTACTTGTCCCAGGTAGCAGTGGCAAAGCATAGTACCAAGAGACTTCGATAGTCAAAAGCAGATATCATAGTCATAGCTGGTAGCAGCAATGGTGCTCGTAGCAGCCAAACAACAGGAACTACGCCAGGAAAGTCTCACATCAACAGAACATGGCGAAGAGAAGCACGTAGGACAGTAGTGACAGTAATTAGCGAACATCGAACACCAGCATCAACATAAACCGCCATGATCGTCATCGCCATGGCGGCCAGCCAAACCATGAGATGTCAGTACCAACGCTACCGTGACCATCATGACCATCTTCGGCATCGTACCATCGAAGCCATACCCTAAGGGTCCATGTGGCCAAATAGTAGATACTTTGGCCTGAAAGTAGTCCCTATTTGGGTACTTTGGGGCCAAGGTATCTACTATTTGGGTGCATGGACCCTTGGGGATAACCATGAAAGTCCGGGACAATGCGTGATTCACATCCCAAGCTGCCTGCCAGGGCTGCAGTGCCGGAAACAACGCTGAGGCCTCGTGGCGAGCCCAACCACATAAACTGGGTTCTTGTTAAGGGACTTAATTTAAGTTACCATAATACAAAAACCCTATTATTTACTATAGAACCAAGCAAGCAGGTCCATGATCAAAAGGAAAAGCAGGTATTCCACAACTCTGAATACACACACCTGCTGCCGGCACCAAGCCTTGTGCAGCACCAGGCGTATCACGACACCAGCAAGCGTCCTTTCGGCTTGAGCCATCGAGACCTGAGACCATGCCCAAACCAAACATTCGGAACGGATTGCAGGTTCATGTGTTTGCCGAGAGCCGTCAACCATCACGGAAGCAGACCAGGTCAGGTAGACAACGACCAACTGCGGAAATACTTCCAAGCACCTGGCATAGAGCTCACTGCCGCCCTGGTTCACGCACTGACTCCCCACGTACCTCGTGCTGCGCTCGTGGGTACCGGTTTATAATATACTATGTTTTGCTATAATGCGCTATGATACTCTAATATACTATATCATATACGATAACAACCCCTAAACTCTGGCTAGGAGCTGTTTGTCTGCAGCGGCTGAGGCTGGGGTCAGGGTTTTGGGGGCCACGGCACGGCGTCCAGTCACAGAACTCGCGCCCAAGAGATGCCGAGGGACCTCCGGGAAACATGTGTGCTTGAGTCAGAGCTGCTTGCTCCCTCCGGCAGCCTTTGTCAATTGTAAGCCCTAACCCATGGACCCTAAATCCTACTACCTCAAGCCTGAACCCTAAACCCTAAACCCTAAACCCTGAACCCTAAACCCTAAACCCTGAACCTAAAGCCTAAACCCTCAACCTAAACTCCCAAACCGAAAGCCAAAGCCCTAGACCGTAGCCTTGAGACTCAGGAGACCAGTCTCAGAAGGTGTAAAGTTTAAGGTTTATAAGGTTTCGGGTTTGATTCGGGTTTCAATTTCGGGTTCAGCGGTAGCCTTCTCCGCAGTTGTTAAAAAGTCTGAAAGCACCTTGCGGGATACATCTCAAGCCCGGAATCTCCCGAAACCCCTTGGACCCCTTTAGCCCTAAGCCCACATCCAGGGCTGAAGGCTTACGGGGATTGGAACCCAGGGGCTTCGGGTAGGTTAGGCTCAGCAGGAGGCCGCCAACCCATGAATCCTAAAGAACACTGCGGTTTAGGGCGTAGGGTTTAAGTTTAAGGTTTAGGGTTTTAGGGTTTCCTGGTTCCCTGTTGGAGTTATATTAAAAATGATCACTGTTTATCCTTATTGGGTATTGAAAAATAAAAAACATGTAGAATTGCAGCAGACAAGGACCCAGTCTGGGGTTTAGGGTGTAGGACTCAAGGTTGACTGGGTTTAGGGTTTGGGATTTAGGGGTTTTAGGGGGTGGTTTTGGGGTTTAGGGTTTTGGGGGGTTTTTAGTTTAGGGTTTGGGATTTCAGGTTGCCCGGATCGCCCCAAGAGTTTGCAGTGCTTTGGCCCTCCAACCCCGAACCCTGGATTGTTAAGCCCTCGCCTTGCAGCCTTTGGGGGGGGCCAAAGAGTTGGAATCGGGCTCCGGGAGATTTTAGGGTTATAGGGTTTGGGAGATTTTAGGGTTTAGGGCTTGGGATGTTTAGGGTTTAGGGCTGAGGGTCTTAGAATTGTAGTCATGGAAACAGGGAGCTTTGAAGAGAGGTGTTGGTGATTTTCCCGGCCCCCTGCATTCGACCCCAAGCTCCCGCCACCCAGAATACAAAGCAAGCAGCGATCTTCAGCCCAACTTGGCCGCACGAGCGGGAGAGTGACGATTCTAAGCATCATGGTTCCGGTGCTTGTTCAGCCGAAGCCGGCTGGAGCCATACTGACATGAATAGCTGTGCCTTACTTTGAGGTCTGAATAACACCGATGTTGCTTTCCAAGAGGTCTGCAATTGCCTGCATTATTGGGTTCCAATATATTCTCTAACTACTCTAACCTGTTGACCTGAAACGCCTACAACAAATCCCCGCCTCGACGACCCCATTCCGCAGAATGGTCATGCAGCAGAACGAGATTGGCCTGGAAGATTCCAAATCCAAACTGTTAAGGGCCCAGGGTTAAAGGAAACTACAGGTGGGGAGTTTAGGGATATAAAGGGCTTCTATAAGGCTTCTGTAAGGTATATAGACCATCTATAAGGCTCCTATAACGGTAACTACCCACCTGAAAATGTCCTAGACAGAGTTCAGGGTACAGACAAGCAGTCTAAGATATACCTTAAGGCTGATTAGGCCCAAGGATCCTGCGGCGCAAGGCCATTTCGAGACTAAGTGTGCTTCGCCTTACTTTAGAGATTAGGGGGAAAGGACCAAGAGTGTTTATTTGACCATAGACGTCGCAAGCCTGAGTGGCGTGGAGCTCGGTGGGGTTTCGGCTTTCAGGTTGGAGGCTTCAGAGTGTTGCGGTGATGAGTATCGTAGCCCAAGCTGCATCTAGAAACACTGGAGCCCACCCAGCACCCCAAACACCCCCCACACCCAAGGCAGCCTTACAAAACAGATCTAAGCGGGACCATAGAGCGCAAAAGAACTGCAAGCAGTCTTCCAGTGCCTTGAAGCCACTCTGCCGCAGGTCCGGAGAATCCCGCGAGACGGCCACCGAGATGAAGAGCCTGGTAGCGCAGACAAACACAACCTGCATCCGACCCAGGATTTAGGGCTCTAGCTGTGCGGTTTTAGAGGGGTTGAGGGCTCAGGATTTGGAACTGTAGGGTTTGATAGGATTCCACTCGTTTTGGGGGGGATACTATACGAGTTACTATGGGGATTGCGATAAGGGGCCTAAGTTTGGGCTTAGAGCTCACAGTCCAACCTGTATGTTTCCTCACAGGTTCTCCGAAACGGAGCATGGGACGTAGCGACGACTTAGTGATTGGTGTAAGCTGGAGCCATCTTAATCTGTAAGTTGCACGTATCCTGCATAGGATGAGGAACTTCTTGAGCCCAGCGCGATCGACGCTCTGGGGCAGCAACGGCCTTGTTTGTTGCCAGCGATGCCTGCAAAGGGGCACTGAAGCGGCACGGGTTTGGATTCATGGGGCCCGCCTTACAAGCACCGATGTGGGAGTTCATGGCGGGGGGGGGGGGGGGGGGNNGGGGGGGGGGGGGGGGGGGGGTACATATTCGAGTAGGGCTTCCAGGCAAAACTATACACAATTCTAAGGGCCTATAAGGATGGGATGCAGTTGGTTGCTGTACGATTCTGTTTCGAAGAATCAATGGACATTTCGACCCGAAGACGAGAAGGCGGAATCCTAAACCAGGCGCCCTAAGACAAAAGCTACACTAGGAGCCTTCACCAAAACACAAGGTTCGGGATTTCCAGCCTGCCCAGAGGCCGCTAAGTAGTTCCTTTTTGGGATTACCTTATAGGATTCTAAATTCTAAATAGAAACCATAAAAAGGAACTACTTAGGGGTCTAAACTGCTCCTAAATCGTGGTCTTTCCTGATAAGTTCCGATCGGTTCGTCAGGGTCGGCTTGCAAGAAACGCACGGCACAACACCCACTGAGACACTAACCCTCCTGTCACCATTCTCGCCCAAGTCCGTCTTGGTAGACCCCTGAATCCTTGATTGAGCCTAAATCCGTAAATGCCCCCNNCCCCCCCCCCCCCCCCCCCGCCATTGCAATGACCTCGTATGGGAAGCTCAAAAAGCAGAATAGGGCTTCAATTCATCATAGTATAACTATGCAAGCACGTTTAAGGATTGCTATCATTACACATTTTGCCGACCTCGACCTTGCAACGACAACCCTGCTTCAGGGTGTCTCCGGAATGGAAAGGCCAGACGTTGAACCCATTAAAACTCGAAGCTCGTATCGTTCGTCGAGACCCTCACTGTAAACTTACCATGCTCTGTAGGGGCTTGGTCTGACAAGGTTTAGTTAGGGGTTTAGGGGTTTAGGTTTT